TACTACTGACGCGGAATAAGGCACCTAGTCAAGACGACCGTTACTTTCTTTGATGAAGGACGGTTATGATACACTAGCCACCGACGTAACTTCTCAGTGACACTATCTGACGGAAGGAGGAAACGACTGATGGTCGTAGACCATCGTTCACATATGTAACAAGGGCCAAAACACTATCCGTACAAACCATAATTTAACTCCAATCGTGCTGCGGCAGCACGCTTTTCCTTGCGAGAGACGAATCAGCGAAAAGCGGGCCGGCTTCAATTCAGTTAGCTGGCGCGTTGCTCACAATCTTTGCTCCTTGCCAGGTGCGCAATTTCCACCACACTCAAAGATAGTCTTTCAAAGTGATCTTCATTAACCTGAAGGCTGTTTTCGACTCGGTTGCTCTGACCACTGTTTGGTTCAGTGGGCTGTACGCTACCGGGCACGTCCCCAGGCTGCGCATAGGGGAACGCTTTCCTTGCGATAGCAATCGAATAATTCTCGTCCGCTCACGGGTGAAATGAATAAGTAATCTGGGACAATTAGTGGCAGTGTCATTTAACTTACGGGAGGGTTCCTCGCTGGTCACCCGGTTCCCCATTAAAAAGCACATGAGCTCGGGTGACATTGCGTCAAAGCGAATGTGACGTGAGATCCTGACTGATCGTTAGCCTGCTGCTGCTGGTGCTGTGCCGCGGGCTCATGTCCTGGACGCGTCCTCGTGGAGGCCGCTGGGTGAGAGTTGGGTTACACGCGTCTTCTAGTTGAGATCCAGGACACACGATTCCGGATGAGTCGGTTCACTGACTCACGGTGTATGGCCTGCCGCCTTTCGGCTGTATACTTTAAAGTGCACTTGTCAGGTGTAGACGACCTAATGGTATCTTAGTCCAATCCCCAAGTAGGAATTACGGCATCGGCCGTCGCGCAGTGGCACTAGGAAAAGGGTCGCTTTATCCTCTGTAAACAGCGGAGTGGATAAGCGAAAACATGCTTCGGCTGGCGCCTCCCTGCTTACTTCTTCCTCTGCACATATTCTCCCCGTCCCCGCTTCGTCTAACCCACTACTTCTTTCAATCCAATTCGTCACCACCCATAACATTACCTGCCAAAGCAATCGTATGCCTCCGCACAAAGCGCTCGAAAAAGAGTGCTGGAACGTGTGCACACTAATCCACCGGAATACAAGAGAGCGTCCCGACCGACGCATTGCACTCGTCGCGATAGAACCCGCGTGCTACGGAATCGGTATTGATGTACTCAACGAGACTCGGCTCGCTGACCAAGGGAAGCTGCATGAGAGTGCTGCTGGTTACCCATACTACTGAATGAGGAACACCACCACAGCAAGACGTGAACAGGGGGTCAGATTTGTTTTATCCGAAGCTTAAATAGCCAGCTGGTGGGAGAGCAGACTGGCATCAGCCCACGATTAATGACTGCTTGCACCTTGGAACAGGTGGTTTTGCCGCCTTTATTAGCACGTATTGTCCACCTGATGATCCGAGGGATCAGTTTTAGGCTCGGTTATCCTCCGTGATACGGTCCGTGAAGTGGAGCGATCGACTATTCTTACTGGGTGGCTTCCACGCGCTTTGAGTGTGCTGCTTCGGTGTGGACAGACCTAAATGGTCCATAAGCAATTGGCACAGTCAATGGGAAGTGTGCCTAGCTGCTTTTATTGGGCATCACACACCGCCTGTCTGTCACGAACATAGAGTTTGCACTGGGTGAGAGTGAAATAGCTACTTCGAAGCAACGACGAAGAGGTCAAGCTTACCTGCTAGACTGTCATAGTGTAGCAAGAACGAAACGGCAAGAAATCACAAGCTTTATTGCACGCGACCACAGATTTTACAAGCTGCGCGTACCCGGGCATTTATCAGCCATGTTTCCGTCCCACAACACAGCATACCTGGGGAATCAATACATGCCATGTTCCTGCGTCGTTAGCCCGCATAGTTGGTGGCCCTGGCTGTCTGTCGGACCCGTAACTTTGCTTCCATACCTCGCATCCTGACTAGTCTGGAGTCGTCCCAAAGCTCTTGATTTGCTTGACCTCGGTTGCGTTATTCGGCATGGGGTTATTCCAGGATGCACAGACAAAGGTGTTTTTGACCTATCCATTGGCTTATCGACCCAGCCTTCTCCTGTACTCTTTGGATCAGTCAGGTTCCAGTTTGTTTCTCGCGTTACGCTCTGTGCTCTAATGGCTGCGCAAAGGTTACACCGTCAGCTTTCGTCCATGATATCTGCACCTCTTTCGGTACTCGCCCGTTCTATGCCATTACTTACTTGCTACCATCCCTAACGCCGTCTATTCCATCCTTAGTGCATCAGCCATCATCCACAGTAACAAAAGCTATCACTATATACTCAACAGGGTTGCATCCACCATGGGCTGCGTAGGAAATGGTTACCAGCCAAATGGATTTAGCAAAAGGCAGAGGTTAAACGCAAATACGAGGAAGAATATTCAAGCTTTTGGAGAGAAGTAGGAAAGGTGTCAGAGTTGCGTGAGACCACGTGGACTAAATCCACTGGTCCAGTAAGAGAATGCGGCGGAAATCCTTTCACCGCACCAGTGTATGCAATCACCGACGCTATGCGCGCGTGCATATGGTCACATTAACTTTGTCCTTCAGACCATCGTAACGACCGCTGGACAGCTGCATGTGGGCAGACAGGCACAGGTTAAGCCGATAGACTGCTAAGATGATCAATGGTTGTGGACAGTTCGCCAACGAAGATCGGCAGCATTTTATGGCGAACCATCAGTATTTGGTTTGCCAGGCCAAATCGGGTTACTGCGGAGAATCGTTGCTGTGTCAGAAACGTGCCTGAGCAATAGATCACGATGAAGCATGTCCCTCGGTGATGTCGGAGCAACCGGAGTTAAAATACGTCGTACTTGATCAGCGGGTGCAGATCCTGCGGTTGTATGGTCAGCGCCGTTCACATGCTGCAGAAACGGGCCGACGATACAACAACTGGAACGCGAGAATGTTGCCTGTAATTGGGCTTTACGTTCTGGAACTTGTGCGTAAGTTTGCAAAAGCTGGTAGAGTCTGCAATGCCAGGAAGACTGGTCGGCCCTCATCAATACAGAGGAAGTTTCGGCTTGCGATGTTATCCGCGAAGTAATCGAAAATTGCGAGCTCAACATCAGTACAATCGCGCAGCATTGAGACACCACCAATTATGCTGTTCAGCGCATTTTAAAGGAAAGCAAATACCGTCGTATGGTTAACTTCAAGGTCTGAGCCCGTGCGATCTGGAGAACCGGCAAAAGTGTAGCTACTCTTTGTTGCGTCACACTGATATCCATTTCATTGCGTTTGCGGAAGAAGCTTGTTTCATTTGAACGAAATTAATAATCAGGATTATTGGGCAGTATGTAATCCACGACCTTACCGTGTTTCGGGTACGCAACATAGCCCAAAGGTCATGTTTCGGTCTAGAATAACTGGTAGAAAAATCGTGGGCCCATTTTCATTCCCAGCCATGTGACCGATAGGTTGATTTTGTGCATTAATAATTCCATGCCTCTTATTGCATCATATTACAAGCAAATTTTGTAGCTCTGCTTACCTCTGCAGTTGGAGGCAGATGGGTTATGCAGTAGCACTTGGTGGCACCATGTTGGCGCCCCTGCACATTATGCTCAAACGGTTCCTGATTATTTGAGCGGGAACAGTTAACAGAGAATATCCTGAACGAATGTCTCGCCATCACCGCGGGAACATTGGAGAATGTTCTTGCCAACTGTATCAGGTGATTTCTGTACTACAAGCGGAACGCCGGTGACCACTTTGAACCTTTTCTGCGTTGATATTTATATTACCATTTAACCCCATCCACTTAAACATGCGTATCCAACCACGCGTATTCATCGTCATTCAAACCTCAGCCCGGCGTTAGGATTGAACTAACGAATGCACTGTACCGTCTACTTTTCAGGGCAAGTGTGGTGTCTCGTAGGCGCCACAGACGGCGAAGATTAGCATTGGTGATTCGAGCGTTTGTTAGAGGTCTGTTGAGTTCGATACGCAACGGTGGATCAAGGGAATAGGAAGATAAGGAGAGAAGAGGCTACAGGGTAAGGTACACTGTGGTGTTGGATGAGGGATTCAGGACACCAACATACCAGTGACACTCCTGGAGAAGAAAAACAGGACCCATGCATTTCCGATCATTTAGCCCATCAAATGAGCTGTTGGGTGGTGCCTGGGGTACTACTCAGTAATAAGGACACGTAAAAGCCGTGTCCAATATGGGACAGTAGAGAATTTGGAGACAGCTGGACCCAACCTATATAGTACAGGCTACAAGTAATGGGGAGGGAATCAGCAAAGGCTGAGCTGAGCACAGCTGGGAATAAAGCGTCCAGACTAGTTGACCAGGCCACAAAATCTACTGAGGCTTTAAATGCCCGGATGTTAGCAGGAAGGACTTCGTTACTCGACGTTGAAACGAGGTGATCTAACAATTCTACCGTTGGCTTGCCGAGTTCGCTATTAGTCGGGTTGATTGTGACACCTTATTGGGTCAAGTGCTGAACAGTAGGACGGAGATAGTCCAGGTGCTCTTCTTCCGATGAACTGTCGACTTGAATATCGTCAATGTATGGATAGGCGCAGTCCAGACCACGTGGGGGATGGTGCATAAAGCGTTGGAACAGCTGTGTGGCGTTTCACAGTCCGAAAGGCATTCCTAGAAGTTCAAACAACGGCCGTTTTAAGATTGCGTTTTCCTTCGACAAGTATCTGATGACAGGAGCGAAACAGGTCCATCTTAGTAAAAATCGTTTCAATTGTGAATCATGTAGTGAGGTCCTGCATGTGTGTACACCTGTGTGTGAAATTCAGTGCACTTAGTGCGTTGATGGAAGTGTCTGCATCAATCAGTCACGTCCCGTGCAACAGAACAGCAGTTCCGTTGACCTTGCTCTGTTCCTCCACAGGGAACAGCGTGAGCCGTACCGAAGTGAGCCATTAAATATTACTCCCAAAATGTCTGAGGACCTCAAGGTTTTTCAAGCCTTCGGACCTCATTTCCTGTGGAGCATTTTAGGGTCTACTTACACTGTGTCCACATTGCTGGGGTATGTCGAAGCACACAAGGCTGCAATGGCCGTCAGTCCACTATGACAACCAGTGCATTATACACTGTTTTTCTAATCGCTGGTTTTTTAAACTTTCCCGCCGAATAATGTTCCTATACATGTACTCTTCTTAAACAGCAACCATTCTCCGCAGTATCCTGATTTGGCCTGGCCAACCAAATAATGGTGCGTCGCCATAAAATACTATCGATCATCGTGGTCGCAATGTCCACAACCATCGATCCTCTATTCGGCCTGGTGGCTTAAAGTGCGCCTGTCTTCCCACATGCAGCTGTCCAGCGGTCGTCTCGGTGGGCTGAAGAACAAAGATAATCTGCCCATTGAGATAGAGCGTCTGCACGCGCGCAGAGCGACGGCGATTGCATACACTGGTGCCATAAACGGCTCTCCGTACCACAATCATAATGGACCTGAAATGGAAGGCACGTGCGTCCTCACTATCAAACATCAGCGCGCGTTTTTAATGGGAAATGGGGATGTCTGGGACATTAGCTAAAGTTCACACTATTTCAGAATTTTAAAATAACGCATGCTCGGGTTGAGCAATTCCGGAACACCGGGTTCAAACCAGAAGTGTAATCGAGCCCCTTGTGCGAGCGAGCAAAGGTGTCTGAGGCTAGAGCACAAGTGATGACGGAAGACCAGATTAAACGATGTTTTCTTGATACTCCAAATTGCTCTATGCATGAGAAACTGATAGGTTGCCTCGTTTTAATGGAGCCTCAGGCCAGTTCGATCAAATTGTAAAAAAGGCAACAAAAATTATTCTTCAACTCGACGTGGTCAGTATTATAAATAGCGGAACGCAATTAGTTGTTATGACTGAGGTGGAGTGTCCCACACCTACTCCCGTTGAACTGAAGACGATAGTAGACTGCCCAGTCAGGAATCTTGTCGAGGTCACTTTGAAGCTGCATGCAGTCTGTTGGAGCTATGAGCCACCGCCGAGGCTCTATATCGTTTCCGTACAGCAAACATGGTGAAGTGCTTATGTTAGCTTGTCACTTCAACCTTCAAGTACAGCCCTAACACGTGTTTTACTCGGTTTGTGTTAGCTATTTATATGTGTTGTGTTTGGCCTGATGATGAAACAACGAAAACGAGCTTCTTTGCTGCACTGACTTTTCATTACTGGAACGGGAATTAATCGCCAGCTGAAAATCCAGAGCATCATGCTCTTGTGGCATACCGTATTCTATGTGTGCTGGAGTTCATACTGAATCGGACAATTTCACTTTTAGACGCGTATGAAAAGCGAGGTTGCTGATACACAATGGGGGATTACCAATGCCATACCGTCGATGGTTAGATAGAAGGTTGTGACAGGTCAACCGATCGCATTCCTTAGGGACTTCGAGAGAGACAATATCAAATCCTGCACCGAACTCCGCTGTTTCGGTCCAACTGTCCAGTGCTAACCGCAGATGGGTGGTGCACGCTGGGTTCTGACGGAAGCTATGTTGCTCTTGCGCGATGTAGTCAAGATAAGACATGAATGGGTGGGACAGATGGCCGGTGAAGTGGTGCATGTTAATCAGTGCTAGGCGGAAGAAGCGAAGCAACATACCGGTTTGATAGCTTGGCACTGAGGCAACTCTTGAATCGACGGTTTTTGATGCTACCTCAAGTGATGCGAAGCTTCGGATATGGTGTTAAGTCTCATTTGTTATTGCAATATAGGTTGAATGAACCTTCCTCGCTTACGCCGAACGTAATACGTGTAATTAGGCGTATGCATTTGCATGACAAAGGTGGATGTTCGGTACCGAAATCCAGTAAATCGTTGAGCTTACGGTGTCTTTCCAATGTACCCAGGGCTCCCTTTTCAGTCGGAATTCTAACCTGAGAGGACACCAGGTCAAACTATGGTCGACTTGATTGCCAACATAACCTTTTCTCCCTTCTGGTATCGGGAACATGAAACGACCTTCCAGCTCATGTCATCTGGCCTCAACATTTACGCTTTTATAGAAGGCACCCTGAAGACACATTATCTCACGTGCCATACATGATACATGGACTGCTCCATTAAGAGGACGAAGCAACTCGAGTTAAACCATGCGCTCACTAGTACTTCAGCAATATTGGGGTAAGAAAACTTACATCACTATTTATGTGTATAACGTTGTGAGAAATTTAATGCTCTAAGATCTCTAGTTATTCATATAATTTGGTTAACTTTAGTTTTCTAATTCTCACTTCCGACATCCTACGATAATTGTTGAGCAATCGCGCTTTTACCCGTCATAAATCATTGTTCCTTGTGTCAATCGCTATCACTGAGTTAGCACTGCCTGATGTTACTTTGTTGCTGTCAGCTACGAGCACATTTTCTCCCTGATCAACGTAACCCTGAATTACAGACTAGATATTGTTAAACATCCTGGAAAACAATTCACGCCGAGTTCTTCTTGGGCTCTTACAAAAGCTAGACGACCGGTTCGCTAAAACAGTTTCGGCATCCTTGGCACAAAAGTAAGAGGTAACATTTCTTAAGAAAGTTAATGTTGTGTTTTCCCTTCGCAAACTTCAGAACTGCATAAATAAACAACGTTCCATCAGAATAATCTAAATCCTGATATTTCGCGTTTTCTCATCAGCTGTGTACAGACAATCTCGCACACATTAGTTTCGCAAGTATTCGTAAGATACGCCACGCGAATACAAGTGGCAATGAGCTGTAACCTGCCTCAGATACACTACCAAAGAACGGGTATCTCGCGGGGTTCATCAAGCGTCACTCAACTGAAAACATT